GCCATTGCCAGCAGCACAAGCCTCAGCCGGCCCTGGTTACCTGAGCCTCAGGTGGCCCTGGGAAACTGGGCAGCCACCATCCATGGCTTGCCCTGGGTGGCTGGGGGGCCGTAGGGACTAGGGGACTCCAGAGAAAGCCCACAGAGCGGCTGGGCCCATCTGAGGGCTGGGCACCACCATTTTGTGGCTATGGGTGCTGCCATCTTTGAGGGCATTACAGCCAATTAGCATATTCCCTCCTTCTTGGCTGTGGGTGCCGCTATCTTTGCAACTGGTATGAGGGTCAATTAGCATATTTCCTCTTTATTAGATAGGTTATCCAGGATTTGGAAGTAGCCCAAGTGTCCAGCAGCAGATGAGTGGATAAAAGAGCTATGGTACTTTTCTATGACAGAATACTATTAGTCTGCCATAAAAAGGAACAAAATTTTATCCTTAGCATGAATGCACCTATAGAGCATTATACTAAGTAAAATAAACCAGTCAGAAAAGACAATTACCATATGATATCATGCTTATGTGGAATTTAATGAACAAACTGAACTACCAGGCAAAATAGAAACAAACTAACAGACAGCAGTCAAGCAGATGGAAAGTGGGTGATTGAGAAAAAAAAGAAAAGAGAATTTATTGACATGGACAACAGTGTGATGATTGCAGGGGCAGGGAGCAGAGGCAGAAAAGAGCATAGAAAAAAGGATAAATAGTGGTGGAAAAATAAAATGAAATAAATTAAAAAATAAAAAGAATGACTCCTGCCCTGGTCAGTGTGGCTCAGTTGTCTCCCACAACCTCATCAAAATTACAATTAAAATGCAGAACAATCATATTTAGAACCTCCTGAAAGCTAGCTGAATGGAAACCTGCAACTAGATAAGAAGAAAGCACAATGAACTAGTAGGAGGGGTGGAGGAGAGGAACAGACTGATCCAACGCCCACGTATGCATTTTCTTAATCAAAAGGGAGATCGTCTTTGTGGAGACCATCCATCAGAAGCAAGGGGTACCAGCCCCATACCAGACTCCCCCAGCCCAGGGTTCCAGAGCTGGGAAGAAAAGTCCCTGTACTTTCAGTGAGGATTGTGGCTGAGGGACGCAGAGGCAACTGGACACCCAAGTGTTCTGTTTAAAGAACTAAGGCACAAAACTTGCTTGGACTCCCACCACCGGACATCTTACACCTACAGGGAGAAACTGGATTGTCTGGCATTGGGGCAAGAATTCAGAAGCAGCTTTCTCCCAGACAGAGGGTGCTTACAGGGGTCATTATTCCTGTGCTGAGACTTGCCCAATCACAGGGCTGACTAGCAGTCTCCATCAGCCTGGAATACATTGTTTTCTTGGTGCTGGGGATTCCCTAGCACCCCGCCCCATCCAATTTGCAGCCCCACCCAACCTGCTTGCAGCAGCTTTTCCATATGAATGGTCTATACTGGCTCAGGCATCAGACTTTGCTAAAATCTCTCAAACAAGCTGAACCTGGTGACAGCATGCCCCAAACCTATCAGTAAAAGACCCAAGACCCAGCACTACTACCAGCCAGCCTTGCTTCAGAACTGGGCTTCACCTGAGCACCTCCAAGTCCAATACAAACAGCAAATAGCAGCTGTCTGCAGATCCCTCTGTAGCTCCTACCAGGTAGCCCTAGGTAATGGCTAACTTTGCACCTTCCTGGAGGCCCTACAGCCAGTGCACCCAATGGCCAGCTTACCAGATTACAACTCTACCCATCCATGAGCAACACACTCAAGAAGTAGACTTAGTGAGCACCAAAGCCCCACTGAAGCAAGTCCTGCTCCTGCACAGCACTCTCCCCCTGTAGTCGCAGCTGGACCTCACAGCCAATTGGCCTGGAGGTCAACTCCTTGCAATGATGCCAACAGCAATCAAAGCTCAACTACAACAAGACTGGGCACACAGCGCACACAGGGTCACACCTAGAGTGCCCAGCTCAGGTGACCAGAGAGACTGAGCCACTGGGCCCTATGGGACATCTACTACACAAGGCCACTCTACCAATTCCAGGAGACATAGAAACAAACACAGGAAAGCAGCCAAAATGCAGAGACAAAGGAACATGTCACAAATGAAAAAAAATGAAAGCAAACATAGTTCTGGATACAGAGTTCAAAACCATGGCTATAAAATTACTCCAGGATCTTCATGAGATTTACAAGGATCTTAGTGAGAAAGTCAAAGACATGAAAAAGAACCAGTCAGAAATTAAGCATACACTAACTGAAATAAAGAACAATTTATTATAATGTTTCTCTCTCTATCCCTCTCCCTTCCTCTCTGTAAAAAATCAATAAATATATATATATATATATATATATATATATATATATATATATATACTTTTTTTCTCATAATTTACAGTGTTTCAACAGTAGAGTAGAAGATTCCAAAAATCAAATCAATGATTTGGAATATGAGGAAGCAAAAAACACAAATTAGAAGAGCAAAAAGAAAAAAGAATTAAAAAATATGAAAATAACCCTGACCAGTTTGGCTCAGTGGATAGAGCATTGGCCAGGTTCAATTCCAATCAAAGGCATGTACCTTAGTTGCAGGCACATCCCCAGTAGGGGGCAGCTGATCGATGTTTCTCTCTCATTGATGTTTCTAACTCTCCCTCCCTCTCCCTTCCTCTCTGTAAAAAAAATCAATAAAATATATTTTAAAAATATAAAAAATATGAAAATAGTGTAAGGTGCCTCTGTGACAACTTCAAGCACACCAACATTTGCATTATGAAAGTTGCCAGAAGGAGATGAAAGCAAAATACTGAAAACCTATTTGAAGAAATAACAGAAAACTTGCCCTACTTGGTGAAAAAAATAGACTTACAAGTCCAGGAAGCACAAAGAGTCCCAAACAAAAGGCCCACACCAAGATATATCATAATTAAATTGCCAAGGGTTAAAGACAGAGAGAATTTTAAAAGCAGCAAGAGAAAAGCAATTAGTGCCGAAACCAGTTTGGCTCAGTGGATAGAGCGTCAGTCTGCAGACTGAAGGGTCCCGGGTTCAATTCCGGTCAAGGGCATATACATTGATTGCGGGCACATCCCCGGCAGGGGGTGTGCAGGAGGCAGCTGGTCGATGTTTCTCTCTCATCGACATTTCTAGCTCTCTATCCCTCTTCCTTCCTCTCTGTGGAAAATTAATAAAATATATATTTTTTTAAAAAAAAAAGAAGAAAGAAAAGCAATTAGTTACCTACAAGGGAGCTCCCATGGGAATGTCAGCTGATTTGTCAATAAACACTTTGCAGGTCAGAAGGGAGTAGCAATAAATATTCAAAGTGATGAATATATTGAAAAGAGTAGAAGAGGGGAGAGGAGGGGAGGGAAGGGGAGGAGAGGAGAGAAGAAAGAAAAGAGAAGAGAAGAGAAGAGAAGAGAAGAGAAGAGAAGAGAAGAGAAGAGAAGAGAAGAGAAGAGAAGAGAAGAGAAGAGAAGAGAAAAGAACCTACAACTAAGATTACTCTACTGAGCAAAGCTCTCATTTAGAATTGAGGATCAGATAAAGAGCTTCTCAAACGAGAAAAAACTAAAGGAGTTCATCACAACCAATCTAATATTACATAAAAAGTTGAAGGGTATCCTTTAAGAGGAAGAAGAAATAAAAAATATGAATAAAATGGCAATATATACATATCTATCAACAAGTGGATCTAAAAATCAAAATAAACGAGCAAGAAATCTAATGAACAAAATAAACTGGTGAATAAAATAGAATCAGAAGCATGGAAGCATGGAACAGACTGACGAATCTCAGATGAAAGGTGAGTTGGGAAAGGTGAATGGGGAGCAGAAAGAGATTAACCAAAGATTTTACCAATGGATACAGACAGTAGGGTGTTGAAGGCGTGGGGTAGGTTGGAAACCAGGTGAAGGGGGCAATGGGTGGAAAAAGAGGAACATCTGCCGAAACCTGTTTGGCTCAATGGATAGAGCGTCGGCTTGGGGACTGAAGGGTCTCGGGTTCGATTCCGGTCAAGGGCATGTACCTTGGTTGCAGGCATATCCCCGGTAGGGGATGTGCAAGAGGCAGCTGATCGATGACTCTCTCTCATTGATGTTTCTAACTCTGTATCTCTCTCCCTTTCTCTCTGTACAAAATCAATAATATATCTATATCTATCTATCTATCTATATATATATATATAGAGAGAGAGAGAGAGAGCACATGTGTCAAACACAAGGCCCTCGGGCCAAATCCATCCCGCCAGGCCTTGCAATGTGGCCCGCACCGCGCTGTCATCACTGCACTCCGCTGCGTTTCCATCACAATGACAGTTTATGACTGTTCAGTAAACCATTCGGCCCGCGATTTAGGCTGGATTTTAGATTTTGGCCCCTTCTCTGATTGAGTTCGATACCCCTAAGAGGAACATCTGTAATACTCTCAACAATATTTAAAGTTTAAATAAATAAATAAAACAATGATTATTATTATTGTAAATCATTTGTCCTCAAAGCTTACTTATTTTATTAAGTAAATCTTCATTAACTGATGTGGTAGTGAGTACATCTTTTCTTTACTAATCTAGTTGGACTCAACCTTACATATCCTTTCACTGAACTCAACTATTGCGTATAATCCTCCATAAGAAAATAAGTCTTGCCCGAACTGGACAGAGCGCGCCTGTGGACTTGAGGGTCCCAGGGTTGATTCCAGTCAAGGGCATGTACCTCGGTTGCAGGCACATCCCCAGTAGGGAGTGTGCAGGAGGCAGCGATGTTTCTCTCTCATCCACGTTTCTAACTCTCTATCCCTCTCTGTAAAAAATTAATAAAATATGTTAAAAGAAAAGAAGTCTTTGGGAAGAGGGGTGACTGAGAATAGTACCTGATTAGTCAGAGTTAAAAAAAAAATTCTTAGTAGCCTATCATTAAATGAAGACTATGTCACGCCCGGGCTGATGAATCTGTGGTAGGAGCATTGGCCCAAGCACTGAAGGGTTTCGGGTTTGATTCCGTCAAGGGCACATACCTGGGTTGCAGGTCCCATCCCCGACCCCAGTCAGAGCCTGTGCTGGAGGCAATCAATTTCCTCTTTCTTCTCCTCTCCTCCTCTTCCCTCCTCTCCTCTCCTTTTCTCTCTTCCACTCTTCTAAAAATGAATGTAAAAAATACCTCAGATGAGGATTAACAAGACAAAACAAAACATTTTTCATAATGGTATGACTAGCCGAAACTGGTTTGGCTCAGTGGACAGAGCGCCAGTCTGCGGACTGAAAGGTCTCAGATTTGATTCCGGTCAAGGGCATGTACCTTGATTACAGGCACATCCCCAGTAGACAGTGGGAGGGAGGCAGCTGATAGATGTTTCTCTCTTATCTATGTTTTTGACTATCTCTCTCCCTTTCTCTCTGTAAAAAAGCAATAAAATATGTTTAAAAAATAAAATAATGGTATGAACATTTACAATTTGCAGGTATAAATGTGCACTGTATATGTAGCTAACTGTGTATATTAAGTAGAAACAATTCACTACCTATACAAACATTTGCTTAATTTTCTGGGAGATAAAAAAAAAAAAAGGTATTATAAGGGTATGGCAACTCATCCAAGGTCACACAAGTCAGGGCAGAGACCAACATTCTGGTTTACCGCAAACCTCCAGGGGAAATCTTACTGACAATTTGGCAAAAAGACTTTTCTGTCTGTTTTACTTTATATAATATAAAAGGGGATGCTATCAGTTTAAAACTTCTAAATAAACACAGTGAGATCTATTTTGAATAAATGAACCTGCGAACAGGTTCCAAATCCGTCCAATTTTCACCCTAGGGTAAAGCCTCAACTCAGAAAGTCTAGCCGTTTTCCTTCATAGTTGGTTATGAAGGGGGAAAAAAATTGGGGGTCTCCATGGAATGGTGAAAGGATAAAAATCACAGGTAGAGCCAAAACCTGTTTGGCTCAGTGGATAGAGCGTCGGCCTGCGACTGAAAGGTCCTGGGTTCGATTCCGGTCAAGGGCATGTACCTTGGTTGCGGGTGCATCCCCAGTAGGGAGTGTAGGGGGTGTGCAAGAGGCATCTGGTGGATGATTCTCTCATCAATGTTTCTAACTCTCTATCCCTCTCTCTTCCTCTCTGTAAAAAATCAATAAAAATAAATATTTTTTAAATCACGGGTAGAAACGACACACTGTGAGTTGTATTGCCTCTAAGGATAAGGAAGGTTTTCTGAAATATTAATTAATAATAATAATAGTAATAATAATAATAATAATGGTGTCAGGATACCAATGAAAGAATTTGAAAAATTCTAACACCAGAAACTACCAGAATTGGCAGAGCTAATCTATAATCATTCTAAACAAATCACAAGAAAAAAAACTCTTCCTCACCCAAAAGATGTCCACATTCCCCAGCCTTGTTCTAAAAATGGAGCCGGATTTGTGTGAGGGTACACAGCAAGAGCCGACTTCCTTCGCCTCCCGCACCATACTCAGAAAGCCCCGCTCCACGAGCGTTCGCGGCGGACAGGTAGGTACAGTTACACTGAAATGAGCCCTTTCAGCTTCCAGAACGCCCCAGAGGAGCTGGGACACGCGCACACTTGCACAGTCACGGTCACAGTCAGACACTCAGGCGCGGAGTCGGTGGTTCGGCACAGGCTCTGGACACCTTCCCACACGGCGAAAACCGCCAGAGAAGCTGGGTGAGGACTAGTCCGCCTGCCCGGAACCCCAAGCCCCTCACCTGACACGGTCCCTGACCCAGAAGAAATGAAAGAAGAGGCGGCGGCGGCAGTTGTTCCCAACAGAGTGCTCCAGGGACGATGGTGGTTGCTTCGACCCGCTGCCCTAGCCTACCGCTGCCGCCCTGTAGGAGGCTAGGTCACCCGGCGTGCTTCCGTCACCGCCGGCGTCGCGCGGGCTGGGGGCGCCGGGGTGCGCCGAAAGGGGCGGCTCTCTTTTCTCCAGCGGAAGTACGAGACATAGAGGCCTGGAGGTCTCTTTGCGCAGATGTGACCCGGAAGAACTGACCTCTCCTAGCCCTCTCTTCCCAGAGCGGCTCAAACCTGTGGTTCCTGGGGTTGGTGTAGAAGTGGATTACCGGAGAAAGGGAGGTAGTGTACAGATGTGCTGTGAGAGAGGCTAGCGATTCCCAGGGTAAGGAGCGTAGCTGCGTCCACAGAACATGTTCTGTATCCAAAAGCAAATATTGAGCTTTTAGTATATGCAAGCAAGCGTGATAGAGAAGTTCCAGGAAGTTCGCAGTCAGTTTGGGGAGAAGAGGGAACTTGAAAGTTGGGGGAAATTTCGGGGATGGGGGGATGTGGGGGTGGAGATAAAATGGTCATTCTAGGTAGAGGGCCCTGCATGAGTAGAGGCACTGTGGAGATAAAGGGATCTTCAGTGGTAATCCATCTTGTTCACAGGACCTAGCACTGGACCTGGAATAGAATGTGTTTTAATGGATGTATACTTGAACTCAGCACCTTTGCGGGAGTCACTGAAGGTATCTAGTGGAGAGAGTATAATATGTAAACCGTCCTTTAAGGAAATCAATTGGCTTGTAATGTACATGAGATAAATTGGAAAAAGGGAAGTGTTAAAAATGAGTTATAAGGCTGTTGCTAGGAGTCAGATCAGCAGCAATAAAAGCCTGATGAAGAGTGATTGCTAATGGATACCAATTTCTTTTTTGGTTGATGGTTGCACAACTCCGTGAATATACTTGAATAGGCGAATTGTATGGCATCCATAATTCAATTAAGCTATAGAGGAAAAAGTGATAAGAACCTGAATTGATATTGATAGAGTGAGCAGTTAAAAAGGCATGAGCAGTACAGGAACCATAGGCCAGGTACAGAATGTCACCAGAGCTGAAAGTCCAGGACCTAGCAACAGGCAAAACTAGAGAAAACAACTATCATAGAGTAGGACCTCTCTTCTAAGGTGGTATTTCCTCCTAGTCATGTGGTTTAGACCCCTTGACCTTTCATATTGCTAATCATTCTCCCATTAGAGGAGGAACAAGGAGTGGAGAATAGCTACTCTCTTAAGCATTAAGTCCTCAGAACAAGAAGAGTCTGTTGGTCTTGTGACCACAACAGTTTTGGTCAAACTAGAGATAACATCTAGGCCTCAGTTGTGTTTCATCTCCTAGCCCAGAAAAGCAGCAAAACCAGATGAAGCAAGGTCATGGTCTACATCAGGACCAGATGCAAAAACTAATGACCCCCTCCACTAGTGCAGCTGGCCAGTGGAGACCCTGAAAAGATATACTTGGAAAGCTGATGAATATTTCTATTGAGATCCTCCACTGAGTTTCTACCTTTAGAGAACTGATAAAAACTCTTAAGACAAAGGACCAGTGAATTCTCTCCCTCTCTCTCTCTATCTCTCTCTATCTCTCTCTTTCTCTCTCAACTGCATACCTGTGCTTCCCTCTCCTCCCCCCACCCCTGTCCTTTCCTTAGGCATGTGTTTTTTACTTTTTCCTAAGCCACAAGGCCCTATTTGCATCTGAAACTTATTTTTTTAATACCCAAGGATATTTTTTCCATTGGTTTTTTAGAGAGACTGGGAGGGAGGGAGAGGAAGGGAAGAGAGAGAAACATTGATGTGAGAGAGTCACATCGATTGGTTGCCTCCCACTCACACCCCTGCTGGGACCAGAGGTTGAACCTGCCACTGAGGTAGGTACCTTGGGTCAAGAATCAAACCCAAGACCCTTCGGTCCACCAGTTGACTCTCTAACCAACCACTGAGCCAATCCGGCCAGGGTTATATTGGAGAGTGAAGAAGGGAGATATAGAAACATCTGTAATATGTTTCCTGAGTACATGCAGGACAGCTGGCTCACTTCTTCTACCTCTGTGACTTTCTAAATAAACTTCTTGCATTACAGTCCTTGACACAGAATTCTTTCTTAGCCAAACTCAAGAACCAAGGTCTAACTCTTCATTCTCCATTAACATCATGAGAGTGAATGGGGATTAAAAAAAAAAAAAAAAAAAAAATTTTTTTAAATAAAGGTTGGAGTTGGCATCATAAGAACTAAGCCTGAGGCCCTGGGCCAGGTGACTCAGTTGGTTAGCATGTTGTCCACATATGCCAAGTTTGTGAGTTCAATCTCCAGTCAGGGTACTACAAGAAGCAACCAATGAATGAATAAATAAGTGCAACAACAAATCAAAGTCCTCTCTCAATAAAATAAAAAATAAAAATTTAAAGAATTAAGTACCTGAACCGGTTTGGCCCAGTGGACAGAGCATTGGCCTACGGACCAAAAGGTCCCGGGTTCGATTCCGGTCAAGGGCATGTACCTTGGTATTGGGCACATCACCAATAGGGGGTGTGAAGGAGGCAGCTGATTGATGTTTCTCTCATCAATATTTCTAACTCTATCCCTCTCCCTTCCTCTCTGTAAAAAATCAATAAATTATATCTTTTTTTAAAAAAAGAATTTAGCGTGAGTGACTGAGAAAACAATGGTGCCATTAATATAGAAATTGGACAGACGAGGTTTAGTAAGCTAAGAAAACTATCAAAATTCCCTAATACCTAATAATGAGTGCATGTTTAAATTTTCACAGTTGTTGAAGTAATGGATTTGTGGTTTTTGTTTCTTTTTTAATACCAGGATCATGCATTACATTTGGTTATTACATCTTCTATTTGTGTCTTAGTCTCATTTTTAAAAATATTTTAAATATATTTTTATTGATTCCAGAGAGGAAGGGAGAAGGAGAGGGAGACAGAAACGGCAATGATAAGAGAGAGTCATTGAGGTACTGGAGATCAAGCCCGAAACTTGGGCATTGCCCTCGACCAGAATCAAACCCTGGGCCCTTCAGTCTGCAGGCCGATGCTCTATCCACTAAGCCAAACCAGTTAGGGCTAAAATATTTTTTTATTGGTTTCAGAGAAGAAGGGAGATAGAGATAGAAACATCAATGATAACAGAAAAGCATTGATCGGCCTCTAATATGCCCCTTACTGGAGATCAACCCAGCAACCCTGGCATGTGCCCTGACCGGAAATCAAACCTTGCCCTCCTGGTTCATAGGTCGATGCTCAATCACTGAGTGAAACCAGCAGGTTGTCTCCTAGTCTTTTAATAACAACTTTTTGAAGTCTATTCATATAATGGAAATTACACAGCATACACAAAATAAATGAGTTATATGATGAAATACAAATTAATCTCAAAAATACTGTAGTGGTCCAGCCCATGTGACATTGACCCATGCACAAAGAGGTCACTGGTTTGATTCCTGGTCAGGGCACATGCCCAAGTTGCAGGCTCGATCCCCCATAGTGGGTGTGCTTGAGGCAGCTGATCTCTCATTGCTGTTTCTATCTTTCTCAATCAATAAAAACATATATTTTTTAAAAACATTGTATTGCCCTAGCCCAGTGGTCAGCAAACTGCACCTCTCAAGCCACTTATGGCTCTTTGGCTTCTTGAGTGTGGCTCTTCACAAAATACCACGTGCGGGCACGCACATACAGTGCGATTGAAACTTCGTGGCCCATGCGCAGAAGTCAGTTTTCAGCTCTCAAAAGAAATTCAATTGTTGTACTGTTGATATTTGGCTCTGTTGACTAATGAGTTTGCCAATCACTGCCCTAGCTGGTTTGGCTCAGTGGATAGAGCCTGCAGCCTGAAGGTCCCAGGTTCAATTCCTGCCAAGGGCAAATGCCTGGATTTAGGGCTCAATCCCCAGGAGGGGGCGTGCAGGAGGCAGCCGATCAATTATTCTCTCTCAGCATTGATGTTTTTATCTCTCCTCTCTTTCCTCTCTGAAATCAATCTATATATCTATATCTATATCTATATATATTTTTTTTTTTTGAATGAAAGAAGTCAGAGAAAAAAATGTACATGCTGTGTGTTCCTGTTTATATAAATTTCAGGAACAAGCTAAGTTCATCAAAGGTTATAGAAATCAGCACACTGTTCCCTGGAGGTAGGAGGTGTGGGATTGACAGGAAAAGAACTTTCTTTCTGGGTGATGGAAATATTCAGTATCTTGTTTGGGGTGGTAATCACACAGATATCAAAACTCATCTACTTGTACTTTTTAGTACTATGCAGTTTATTATATGTAAATTTCTCTCCCCAAAATAACATGAAATAATTCTGGGTAGTTATGTCAAAAGATTATATTTATTTCTTTTGGGTTGCTTACCTTCCTTATTTTTTTAATATTTATTTTTTATTTTTGAATGACTGTCATAGAGATAGCATATAGGTGAATGGAACAAAATAGAAAGTCAGAATAGTAATTGATTTTGTTGTTGTTATTGTTGTTAATCCTCACCTGAGAATATTTTTTTCCGTTGATTTTTTTTAGAGAGAGTGGAAAGGAAGAGGGAGAGAAAAAGAAACATTGATGTGAGAGATATATCAATTGGTTGCCTCCTACACAGACCCCTGACTGGGGCTAGAGGTCAAACCTGACACCCAGTTATGTGCCATTGATGGGGAATTGAATCCGAAACTCTTCAGTGTGCAGGCTGACACTCTCATAACTGAGCAAAACTGGTCAGGACAGAGGTGTCAAGGCAATTCAGTGGGGAAAGGGATAGATTTTTCAGCAGATGATGTGAAATAAGATAGTCTTTTATAGAAATTATTTTATTTTCATTACATCAGTGTGTGGGGTTGTTTTGTTTTGTTTTTACAGGTCTTATGAATGATGCAGAGTGCTAGCCTCAGCCAAATGTGATTATAAATTCTAAACATGAGATGCAGCTGAAACCGGTTTGGCTCAGTGGATAGAGCGTCGGCCTGCGGTCTGAAGGGTCCCGGGTTCGATTCCAGTCAAGGGCATGTACCTTGGTTGCGGGCAAATCCCCAGTAGGGGGTGTGCAAGAGGCAGCTGATTGATGTTTCTAACTCTCTATCCCTCTCTCTCTTCCTCTCTGTAAAAACTCAATAAAATATATTTAAAAATAAAAATAAAAAAATAAGCATGAGATGCATTTTATTCTAATTTCATCAATTATTTATTAAACTCCTACTATGTACCAAACAATGTGCTGGATGCTGACAAAAACAATGATGAGTAGTCAGACATGGTCCTTGTTGTAAAACTGACATTTTTATTGGGGGGGAAAAAAGATTTAAAAAAAACAATAAGAGGGGAAAAATGTTTTAATTGTGGCATGTCCTGAAGTTAACAAAAAAGGGGCTGGAATAGAAAATAAATGAAAGGGTGTTTATGGAAAAAAAAAAAAAAAAACTCTCTCCCAGGAAGGGATATTTTAAGTTGAGACCTAAAGAGAGTTAAGGAATAAGTAGAGAAAGAGAATTTCTCAGGTGAAATGCTCGATGTTTTTCAGGAACTGAAAAGAAACCAGTAAAACAGAACAAGGGAAGAGGAATAATGAGGTCAGACAAGTAGGACCAGCTCAGGCAGCAGTTACACAATCCACACGAGCAAATGGAAGCCACTAGAAGATTATAAATTGGGGCTAGATGCCATCTATGTTTTCAACCATGCTGTGAGGAAAATTGGTTGGAAAGGAGCAAAAAAAATGCAAGAGCCTAAGTTAGAGTTTCACTCCTTTTTTCTACCACTTGTTTTCTTTGTAAAATTCATTCCTCATTCTTCAAAGATAGAGATAATTTACATTTACTTTGAGTCTCTCCCTGTGTCCTCCCCAGCAAACAAACTCACCCCGGTGCCTGTGTGGGTCAATGTATGAACTAGGAGGTCATAGTTCATTCCAGGTCTGGGCACATGCTCAAGTTGCAGGCTCCATCCTCAAAACGGAGCATGCAGGAGTCAGCCAATCAATTATTCTCTCTCATCATTGATGTTTTTATCTCTCCCTCTCGCTTCTTCTATGAAATCAATAAAAAAAATATTTTTAGAGCTTGATGCTAGGTTCTTAGTGGACAGTATTTGAGCTGGGCTGGGGACACAGTGGGCAGCAGGCGCACAGGAAAGCTTGCTCCATACTGCTAGGATACTGAGCGCTAGATGGCAGCAGAGATTCCCTCACTCCAGGGCAACTTTGGGCGCCAGCATTCTAGCGCCTCCGCCTGGCGCTCCAGGTAAGCCGCGACTCTCCAGCTCCGCCCAGGTGGACTCGGCATCGTCCACTAATCACTGGCCCCGCTCCTTCTGGTAAACCACGCTTCCACGGACACCCTCCCCAGAGTATCTAATCGCGCCCACCCCATAGGCCCAGGCCCGCTGGGTGAAGGCGGCGCTGCTGGCCCAGGTTTGCCCCCCGCGCGTGCTAGCTCGGCTAACGGAAGATGGCTCCCAGGGCAGGCGCGAGCTGCTCCTGGCCTCCTCCTGGCTCCTGGCCCGCAAGCCCCTGCTCGAGCGGCTTCTGGCACAGACCCGCATGCGGTTGGACCACATGATGTCTTGTGTTTGAGTGTGGGACCCAGGTCAGCGCCGGCCAGCCTGCCCCGCTGGTGCAAGCAGACGGCCTTGAGGACTTGCACCACCTGCAGTAGCTGATGGGAAAGCTGCGATTTCGGTAGCGAAACTTGAGCAGTCAGCAGGAGCAGTGCGCCCTCCTGGGCAAGATTCACGCGTACACCTGTGGCTGCCACAGTGGCCTGCCTTGGCCACCTGTCTGTGGCCGAAACGGAGCTGCTCAGGGACCCGACGGGTGGCCGGCAGCTGCTGCGGAGGCTGGAGAGTGAGAACACCTGCCTAGAGACCGGTGGCACGGGAGCTGCAGGCTCTGTGTGGTCTCTGTGCTTGCCCGGCTCTAAAATGGTTCTAAATGCTGCTGTTTACTTTACAGGGTTGATTACATGTGTTTATGACTGTGATGTTGGGTTTTAATGCACATAAAATATTTTAGGACACTATTTGTTTCAGAATCTTTTTTTCTTCATTTCCCTTCTCTAAAAACTGGTGCGTCTTATGGTCCGGAGCATCTTATGGTCCACAAAAAAAAAAATATATATATATATATATATATACACACACACACACACACACACACACACACACACACACACACATCTATCTCTTAGAGGCCTAGTGCATGAAGTCATGCATGAGTGGGGTCCGGCCAGCCAGGGGGAGGGGACATGGTTGGTTGGCCAGGCTACCTGCTGGTTGAACTCCTGGTCAAGGGGACAATTTGCATATTAGCCTTTTATTATATAGAAAATACACTGAGTGGGCAGATTATTATGCATTTAGAGATCATAATAATCTGGCCACTCAGGATAGATAGATAAATAGATAGATTTTAAAAGATTTTATCAAAATAAAGAATATGTCACCAGGAAAAAGTAATAAAGGCATATACTAGTAAACAATGAAAAAAAGTTTATTCTGCTAACTCAATTTCTAATTAAACCACAGACCGAAGCCTCAGTTTGGATGAGATAATGATTTAGCAAACCATTTCTGTGATGTACCTGACAGGAATTTACATAAATGATTTTGGAGAAGCCATAGGTAAATAGGTTTATCTAGGAGTGGGACTTTTGAATTTACCTGTAAAGCTATTTTAATAAAGTTTCTCCACAAGACCTGCCGAAACTGGTTTGGCTCAGTGGATAGAGCATCGGCCTGTGAACTCAAGGGTCCCAGGTTCGATTCCGGTCAAGGGCATGTACATTGGTTGCAGGCACATCCCCAGTAGAGGGTGTGCAGGAGGCAGCTGACCAATGTTTCTCTCTCATCGATGTTTCTAGCTTTCTATCTCTCTCCCTTCCTCTCTGTAAAAAAATCAATAAAATATATTTAAAAAAAAAAAAAAAAGACCTAAGCTAGTGCAGAAGAAAACTGGATTTAGGAAACTACCAATAGTTAATTTTTGCATCTACTAACAATAACTTTTTTACTCCAGAGACTCTCTGTGAAACTTATCACATTCTTATCAGACAGCAAAATACAGCTGAAACTAGTTGTAAACAGCAAAACACTGCAGAAACTAGTTGTGAAGAGAATTGATCTGGGGGAGGAGATGTTAACTATATCTCTAAAACTTTTATTTTAAAAACTAGAAGCCCAGCGCAACCTCTCTAATCTGGGATATCTCTCTTGCAATCCAGGATCACTGGCTCCTAACTGCTCACCTGCCTGCCAGCCTTTTTACCCCTAACCACTCTGTATATGCCTGCCTGATTGTCCCTAACTGCCCTCCCTTACCAGCCTGGTTGCTGCTAACTGTCTCTGCCTTGGCCGCTGCCATTGTGGTTTTGTCCAGATGGATGTCTGGTCTAATTAGCATATTACCCTTTTATTAGTATAGATGAAGTCTAAAGAAAATGTGACAAATATTAATTGTCAATTCTGGGTGTTTGGTACATTATTATATGTATTTGAATTAATCTTTGTATGATTGATGTAAAAAACATACAAACTTGTAGAGAATTTTTACGAGCTTATTTGAGCCAAAGTGATGACATATACCAGGGAGCAAAATTTCATGCTCCAGAGAGTAAAAGTTTTACAGATTCTCTTATGTATTTGTAATTAAGGGGGGAATAAAAAAAGATTACCTGATGGTGGAAGAAAGCAAGGTAGGGATTGGTTTACATGATGGTTAACATTATTTGCTCTTTGAAATTTGTTTCAAAGGTAGGTTAACCTGGATGCACAGAAACAATGAACAAGAAGGTGCCGAAACCAGTTTGGCTCAGCAGATAAGAGTGTCGGCCTGCGGACTGAAAGGTCTTGGGTTAGGTTCTGGTCAAGGGCATGTACCACGGTTGAGGGCACATCCCCAGTAGAGGGTGTGCAAGAGGCAGCTGATCGATGATTCTCTCTCATCGATGTTTCTAACTCTCTATCCCTCTCTCTTCCTCTCTGTAAAAAATCAATAAAATATATTTTTAAAAAATGAACAAGAAGGTAATCATCTCTTGAGGGAGGGGTTGGGGCTGGAGGAGGGGAAGAATGGGAGATATTTGTAATACTGTCAACAATAAAAATATTAAATTAAAAAAAGAAGGTATATAGCCCAAACTGGTTTGGCTCAGTGGATAGAGCATTAGCCTGCGGACTGAAAGGTCCCAAGTTTGATTCTGGTCAAGGGCATGTACCTTGGTTGCAGGCACATCCCTAGTAGGGGGAGTGCAGGAGGCAGCTGATCAATGTTTCTCTTTCATCGATGTTTCTAACTCTCTGTCCCTCTCCCTTCCTCTCTGTAAAAATCAATAAAAAAAATTTTTTTTTAAAGAAGGTATATGCCTGGGGTGTGACTACATATTGTTTTCTACCCAGTTAGGAATTTATGATCAGATCACCTCCTGAGGTTACTTTACATACAGCCCTTTTTTCCCCATCCATGGTACTATTCTGTGTCTTTTTAAATATATTTTTATTGATTTTGGAGAGAAAGGGAGAGGGAGAGAGAAATAAAAAGATCAGTGATGAGAAAATCATTGATTGGCTGCCTCCTGCACACCCACACTGGGGATTGAGGGCACATGGCCAGGTTGTGACCTCACAACCTGGCCATGTGCCCTGAACAGGAATGAAACCAGTGACCTGCTTAATGGATTGGTGTTCAACCACTAAATGACACCAGCTGGGCATTTCTCTCTATTATTAATGTCTTGAAGTTATGATAAATAAATAGATATCAGCACATAGTATTTTTAAAAAGCACATTGATCTGAACAATGCTTTATCTGTTCCAAACATGAATTTAATAAATTATTATACATATGTCATTAGATTTCTGCTTTCACTCCCCTACCGGTCATTTGCAGGATATTGTAAAAATTAATGGGAGGAGGGATTGTAATCCAAAAGAGTGAATATGTATCACCTCATCCTGACCTAGAGATGACAGAAAGAGACATAACCCTGGAAATCTGTCTCTGGGATTGTGAAGAATGATGGCATTAA